AGGCTTGGTGGCTCAGCCTGTAATCCCAGCACTTTGGGAGGCTGAGGCAAGTGGATTGCCTGAGCCTGCGTGTTTGAGACCCACCCGGGCAACTTGGCAAGACCTCATCTCTCCAATAAATTAAAAAAAAAATTAGCTAGGCATGGTAGTGCGCGCCTGTAGTTCCAGCCACTTGGAAGGCTGAAGCGGAAGGATCACCTGAGCCCAACAGGTCGATGCTGAGGTGGTGGTGAGTGTGCTATGGCACTCCAGACTCGGCGACGGATTGAGACTCCAACTCAAAAAAAATAAATAAGGCTTAGGAGTTTTCTTAAACGAGTTCCCAAAGCTGGAACAATTTGAGCAACAAAATAAATAATGATAGTATTGGAGTCTAACTCAGAGAATAAAGTAAATATCCACAAATCCATACTGATATAAGTAGACGACTGAGGAAATAAATAGATGGAACCAAGGGACAGATCTTCCTTGCAGAGAATTCCAAATAATAAATGTAGAAGGTATGAAGGCGGCCAGGCACGGTGACTTACGCCTGCAATTCCAACACTTTGGGAGGCTGAGGGAAGAGAATTGCTTGAGCCCAGGAGTTCGAGATTAGCCTGCAACATAGACCCATTTTAACACAAAAATTAAAGTTAAAAAATTTTGTTTCCCAACAAAAAGAAGGAATGATGGAAATAGAAAACCATCACAGTACATCACAGTAGTACTGACTCTAGACCCCGGCTGAATGCTGCTCTTCGTGGGCAGAACTTTAGGAGAGGCCAGATATGTGCATGACTTCAAAATATCTCCCGCTAGGCCTGGCGCGATGGCTCACGCCTATAATCCCAGCACTATTGGGAGGCCAAGGTGAGAGGATTGCTTGAGCCTATGGGTTCGAGACCAGCCCTGGCAATTTGGTGAGACCTCATTTCTACAATAAATCAAAAAATTAACCTGGCATGGTGGCACATGTCTGTAGTTCCGGCTACTCGGAAGGCTGAGGTGGAAGGATTGCCGAAGCCCAGCAGGTCGAGGCTGCGGTGGCCAGGAGTGTGCCACTGCACTCCAGCCTGGGCAACAGAGTGAGACTCCAAATAAAAAAGAAAAGCAAAGAAAATGGCAGCCAGCACCTTCCTCAGGTGATGAAGGTCAGCATTGCACGGACGTCATGTGGGCTTCACGTTTCCTAACGTGACATGACGAGAAAGCACTTCTCCTTTGTGTGGTCTTCTGCAAAGCCACCACCCCAGTCTAATCACGAGAAAACATCAGACAAGCAGACCTCCAATGAAGGGCCTTCCAGGCACTAGGCCAGTGCTTTTCAACAAGTGTCAAGGTTGTAACAGACAAGGAAAGACCGAGAAGCTCTTACAGCTCGAAGGAAACCAAGGACACCCCTAAATGCCACCCTGCGTCTGGGTGGAATCCTGGAGCAGGAAACAGACATGAGAGGAAAAAGTGGAGAAATCCTTAGAAAGTGGAGTTTAGTTCACGTTAACCAATGTTAATGTCTTAAGTTTTGAGAAACGCCTGTCATCCTAGCACTTTGGGAGGCTGAGGCGGGAGGATCATTTGACCCCAGGAATTCCAGAACAGCCTGGACAACATAGCAAGACCTCATCTCTACAATAAATCAAGAAATTAGCCAAGTGTGGTGGGGTGCGCCTGTCGTCCCAGCTACTCGAGAGGCTGAGGTGGGAGGATCGCCTGAGCCCAGCAGGGGTGGCCGGGAGCGTGCCACCGCGCTCCGGCCTGGGTGACAGAGCAAGACCCGGACTCAAAAAAGTTTCCCCAGTGAATTTGGGGAAAACACTGGTCTGGCTGGGATCCCTGACCCACCCCTTTCTAGCTGATTCATGGGAGTCCTGTGGGCATGTCCTGTCCCCATTCCAGATGTCGCCCGGGGATGTTCAACCTGCAGCCTCACAACCCTGCCGGCTGCAGCAGCTGCTTCTGCTACGGACACTCCAAGGTGTGCGCAGCTGCCGCCGGGTTCCGGGTACACCCCATCATCTCGGACTTCCGCCAGGGTAAGAAGCTCCCCCCCCCACCGGGCGCCAAGGGATCCACTCCCAGCCTGTTCTGGGAAGACTGCCACTTCCGGGCCAGGGTGGGGTTACAGGGATGGGCGGGTGGCGCCCTGTGGATCCCGCAGGGAAATTTCCCCCCACCGTGACAAGGTTGGCCTGCCTTGGTGCATCTCAGTGCTGGGGCTGGCCGGGTGTGGTGGCTCAAGCCTGTAATCCCAGCACTTTGGGAGGCTGAGGTGAGAGGACTGCCTGAGCCCGTGGGTTTGAGAACAGCCTGGGCAACTTGGCCAGACCTCGTCTCTACAATAAATCAGAAAATAAGCTGGGTGTGGTAGCGCACGCCTGTAGTTCCAGCTACTTGGAAGGCTGAAGCGGAAGGATCGATGCTGGGGTGGCGGTGAGTGTGCCGCTCCGCTCCAGCCTGGGCGACAGAGTGACACTCCAACTCAAAATAAAAATAAAATAAAAAATGAATGCCAGGGCTTTGGGCTCAGTGGCCTGGCCTCCACTTATTAAACGCCTGCTGTATGCCAGGCACCGGGTTGAGCTCCTTACATAGAGGGAGTCTCATTCCCCTTTTATGGCCGAGGTAGCTGAGACCCAGAAGGGGTGGGTCACTTGCCCAGGGTCACCTAATTCATCAGCTGAGCTTGGCTCTTCACCGCGGTGGCCCCGAGCTCCAGGTGGCACGGCCGCATCTTTGGGGCAGGAAAGCAGCAGAGCTTCGAGGTCTGCGTCCCGCCAGCGCCTGTGCGGGCCCCACGCAGCGCCCCCGACTCCTGTCTGGCCCGCCAGCCTGCGGGCGGAGCCGGGATCCGCCAGGACAGACACTCGGGGCGGGCCCTGGGGCGCCCCAGACGCGGAGGCCGCGCGCCCTCTGCTGGACACCGCGCAGAATGCAGGGCTGAGAGGCGCCTGGGTCTGGACCGCGCGTGTCACGGTCACGGGCGGGGAGTCTAGGGTGTTACCGCGCGCGGGCCGACTCGTTTCTAGACCTAACGAACAGCGTCGTGATCTACTCTCATCTTGAGCCAGGCCCAGGGATTGACGCTCCAGGGACGTCATCTCATTCTATCACACAGGCGCCTTTGGCCACTGGTTCTCAAACTTTTTTGATGCCTGATATTTTTTTAATGCTCTCGGAAATTACTGAGGACCTCAAAGTACCTTTATTTATGTGAGTTATTTTCTCTTTCTTTTTCTTCCTTCCTTCCTTCCTTTCCCTTCCTTCCTTCTTTTCTTCCTTTCTTTCTTTCTTTTTGGAGACTCACTCTGTCAACCAGACTGGAGTGCAGTGGCCGCTCCTGACCACCGCAGCCTCGACCTGCTGGGCTCCGGCAATCCTTCCGCCGCAGCCTTCCGAGTAGCCAGAGTTACAGGTACACGCTACCACGCCCGGCTGACTTTTCGATTTACTGTAGAGATGAGGTCTTGCCAAGTTGCCCAGGTGGGTCTCGAACCCGCAGGCTTAGGTAATCCATTCACCTCAGCCTCCCAAAGTGCTGGAATTACAGGCTGAGCCACTGAGCCCAGCTAACAACTATCTTTTTTTTTTTTTTTTTTGAGTTTGAGTCTCACTCTGTTGCCCAGGCTGGAGTGCAGTGGCCGCTCCCCGCCACCGCAGCCTCGACCTGCTGGGCTCCGGCGATCCTTCCGCCTCAGCCTTCCGAGTAGCTGGAACTACAGGCACGTGCTACCACGCCCGGCTAATTTTTGATTTATTGTAGAGATGAGGTCTTGCCAAGTTGCCCAGGTGGGTCTCGAACCCGCAGGCTTAGGTAATCCATTCACCTCAGCCTCCCAAAGTGCTGGAATTACAGGCTGAGCCACTGAGCCCAGCTAACAACTATCTTTTTTTTTTTTTTTTTTGAGTTTGAGTCTCACTCTGTTGCCCAGGCTGGAGTGCAGTGGCCGCTCCCCGCCACCGCAGCCTCGACCTGCTGGGCTCCGGCGATCCTTCCGCCTCAGCCTTCCGAGTAGCTGGAACTACAGGCACGTGCTACCACGCCCGGCTAATTTTTGATTTATTGTAGAGATGAGGTCTTGCCAAGTTGCCCAGGTGGGTCTCGAACCCGCAGGCTTAGGTAATCCATTCACCTCAGCCTCCCAAAGTGCTGGAATTACAGGCTGAGCCACTGAGCCCAGCTAACAACTATCTTTTTTTTTTTTTTTTTTGAGTTTGAGTCTCACTCTGTTGCCCAGGCTGGAGTGCAGTGGCCGCTCCCCGCCACCGCAGCCTCGACCTGCTGGGCTCCGGCGATCCTTCCGCCTCAGCCTTCCGAGTAGCTGGAACTACAGGCACGTGCTACCACGCCCGGCTAATTTTTGATTTATTGTAGAGATGAGGTCTTGCCAAGTTGCCCAGGTGGGTCTCGAACCCGCAGGCTTAGGTAATCCATTCACCTCAGCCTCCCAAAGTGCTGGAATTACAGGCTGAGCCACTGAGCCCAGCTAACAACTATCTTTTTTTTTTTTTTTTTTGAGTTTGAGTCTCACTCTGTTGCCCAGGCTGGAGTGCAGTGGCCGCTCCCCGCCACCGCAGCCTCGACCTGCTGGGCTCCGGCGATCCTTCCGCCTCAGCCTTCCGAGTAGCTGGAACTACAGGCACGTGCTACCACGCCCGGCTAATTTTTGATTTATTGTAGAGATGAGGTCTTGCCAAGTTGCCCAGGTGGGTCTCGAACCCGCAGGCTTAGGTAATCCATTCACCTCAGCCTCCCAAAGTGCTGGAATTACAGGCTGAGCCACTGAGCCCAGCTAACAACTATCTTTTTTTTTTTTTTTTTTGAGTTTGAGTCTCACTCTGTTGCCCAGGCTGGAGTGCAGTGGCCGCTCCCCGCCACCGCAGCCTCGACCTGCTGGGCTCCGGCGATCCTTCCGCCTCAGCCTTCCGAGTAGCTGGAACTACAGGCACGTGCTACCACGCCCGGCTAATTTTTGATTTATTGTAGAGATGAGGTCTTGCCAAGTTGCCCAGGTGGGTCTTGAACCCGCAGGCTCAGGCGATCCACTCACCTCAGCCTCCCAAAGGCACGGGATTACAGGCTGAGCCACCGAGCCCAGCTAATATCTATCTTTTTAAAAGATAAAATATTTTGCAAGCTGGGCCGGTGGCTCATGCCTGTCATCCCAGCACTTTGGAAGGTGGAGGTAAGAAGATTGCTTGAGCTCAGGGGTTCGAGACCAGCCTGGGCAACTTTGTGAGACCTTGTCTCTACAATAAATCAAAAATTAGCTGGGCGTGGTGGCGCGTGCCTATAGTCCCAGCTACTTGGAAGACTGAGGCAGAAGAATCGCCTAAACCCAGGAGGCTGAGGCTGCAGTGAGCCGTGATCATACCACTGCACTCCAGCCTGGGCGACAGAGTGAGACTGAGTCAAATAAATAAAATAAATAAATAACAAATAAATAAAATAAGTTAACCAGGCACAGGGACATGCCTGTAGTTCCAGCTGCTTGCGACACCAAGGCAGGAGGATTGCCTGAGCCCAGGAGGTTGAGGCTGCACTGAGCTACGATCACAATATTGCACTCCAGCCTGGGCGACAGAGTGAGACTCTGACTCAAATAAATAAACAAATAAATAAAATTAGCCAGGCATGGTGGTGCATGCCTGTAGTTCCAGCTCCTTGGAAGGTTGAGGCAGAAGGATTGCCAGAGCCCCGGAGGCTGAGGCTGCGCTAAGCTGTGATCATACCACTGCATTCCAACCTGGGTGACAGAGTGAGACTCCAACCCAAACAAACAAACACATAAATAAAATTAGCTAGGTATGGTGGTGCATGCCTGTAGTTCCAGCTATTTGGGAGCCCAGGAGGCTGAGGCTGCGCTGAGCTGTGATCACACCACCGCACTCCAGCCTGGGCAACAGAGTGAGACCCCAATTCAGCAACAACAAAGAACCCCAAGGCCTGACCATGCCCCAAGCAGAGCCGAATCCCTGAGCTTTTCTTCTGGGTCTCCCCCACCCTAAGACCCATGCTGGAGCCACCCTTCAGGGCCCCACGCTGATGGCGGATGTGTCTGCGTTTGCTGTCCAGGAACCGAGGGTTGGCTCACCAGAGGTGTGGGGGGCTCTGAGCAGCCCCCACGATGGAGCCGGACTGGGGTCCTCCTGAGTCCAGGAGAGGAGGCGCTCACAGCACCAGGTACGAGGTTGGGAGGGGGTTGGGGGTCACACAAATTTATTCTTGTAGTGTTAGGGAACAAAACAGACATCAGATATGGGCTGGGCATGGTGCCTCACGCCTGTAATCCCAGCACTTTGGGAGGCCGAGGCAGGAGGATCACTTGAGCCCAGGAGTTCGAAACCAGCCCAGGCAACATAGCAAGACCTCACCTCTACAAAAAAAAAAAAATGTTAAGTTAGCTGGATGTGGTGGTGTGCTACTGAGTAGTCCTAGCTACTCAGGAGGCTGAGGCAGAAAGAGCACAGGAGGTTGAGGCTGTGGTGAGCTGTGATCGTGCCACTACATTCCAGCCTGGAAAAAAAAAAAGTCAATAAGGCCCGGTGTCTCAGCCTGTGATCCCAGCACTTTGGGAGGCTGAGGCAAGAGAATTGCCTGAGCCTGGGGGTTCGAGACCAGCCTGGGCAACTTGGCGAGACCTTGTCTCTACAATAAATCACAAAAACTAGCCAGGTATGGTGGTGTGCGTCTGTAGTTTCAGCTACTTGGAAGGCTGAGGCGGAAGAATTGCCTGAGTCCAGCAGGTCGAGGCTGCGGTGGCCATGAGCATGCCACTGCCATCCAGCCTGAGCAATAGAGTGAGACCCCGACTCAAAAAAATAAAATAAATTCAAGCTAACCATGCAAAGACTGTCAAAGCCTTCTTCTCTTGTCTTCAGAGAAGTTCCTGGGAGACCAGCGGCTCAGCTATGGGCAGCCCCTCACCTTGACCTTCTGGGTGCCCCCCGAGGATTCCCCACCCCCTGTGCAGCTGAGGCTGGAAGGGGCGGGCTTGGCCCTCTCTCTGAAGCTCTCCAACCCAAACAGCCCCCAGGACGCCAGGCAGCCTGGGAAGGCACAGCTCAGGTTCCAGTAAGTATCCTCTGTCCCGAGAGGTGGGAGAGAGGGCAAGGAGGGTGTCTCTGAGGTCCAAGCACACTTGATTCCCCTGTGACCTGGGGTCTGCTCATTCTCGGGCCTTGGCGCCACCTGGCCCGGGCCGGGTTCTGGTCTTGACTGCTTCTCCCTCCAGCCTGCAGGAGACCTCCGAGGACGCGGACCCTCCACTGCCCCCCTTCCACTTCCAGCGGCTCCTGGCCAACCTGACCAGCCTGCACCTCCATGTCAGCCGCAACCCAGGCCCTGCCGGTCAGTGACAAAGACCTGTCCCCCAGACGCGGGCACTCACCAGCTCCCGGGACTGGGGCGGGCTCCTCTGGGTGTAACCTTGCGGGGCCTCGCAGCAGCGGGGTTATTGTCCGCATTTTACTCGGAAGGAATCTGAGTCTCAGAGAGGGCAGGACACTTGCCCGAGGTCCACTGTAACCCCAAAAGGCAGCAGGGAGGGTGGCCGAGGACAGAGGCAGGAACTGGACAGGCAAGGGGCCTGAGGATAGACAGCTCTGCGGGGCAGGTGTGTGGCCAGCAAAACAGCCAAGAACCGTTAGGTGTGGTCACTCCAGCTCTGCAGAGTCCACCGTCACCCTCTCTGTCCCTGCCAAGATTCCCTTCGGAGAATGGCTCCCCTGCTGGTCACCGGAGGTATTGCACCCAAGCCACCCCAAGAACCGGTCTGGCTAGTTTTGTCTTCCCTAAGAGGTGTTCCCGCCATCATCATTGACTGGAATTTGTCACCGCCTCCCACTCTGGTCACATAGTGTTTGACATGGCTATTCTCTGACCTGTCCCTAGTCATAACCTGCCTACACATTTTTTTTTGAGGTGGGGTCTCACTTTGTTGCCCAGGCTGGAATACAGTCACGCAATCACAGCTCACCAGAGCTTTGACCACCTGGGCTCAGCCGATCCTTCTGCCTCAGCTTCCTGAGTAGCAGGGACTACAGGCACATGCCACCATACCTGGCTAATTTTTAAACTATCTTTGTAGAGATGAGGTCTTGTTATGTTGCCCAGACTCGTCTCGAACTCTTGGCGTCAAACGATTCTCCTGCCTTGGCCTCGCAAAGCACTGGGATTATAGGTGTGAGTCACCACACCTGACATGGTTCTTCTTTTTTTTTTTTAAAGATGTGGGATACAATTCAGGATTAGGTATATAAATGGACATTGTACAGGTAAAGTTTGGGCCTCCTGTTGGTCCCCACTTTGCCTGATTTGAGATCAGGTTCCTTATTTATTTTTTATGTTTTTGAGTTGGAGTCTCACTCTTGTTGCCTGGGCTGGAGTACAGTGGCACGCTCACGGCCACCGTAGCCTTGACCTGCTGGACTCAAGCAATCCTTCCAACTCAGTCTCCCAAGTAGCTGGAACCACAGACACATACCACCACACCCAGCTAATTTTTTGACTTATTGTAGAGACAAAGTCTCACCAAGTTGCCCAGGCTGGTCTTGAACCCCTGGGCTCAGGCAATCCTCTCACCTCGGCCTCCCAAAGTGCTGGGATTACAGGCTGAGCCACTGTGACCAGCCCAGGTATCCTTATCGATGTTGATCCTTATCCACCACCTCCACTCACTTGGTTCTTTCTAAAGGCTTACCTAGCCTAGACGGTCATTGCTTCATTAGTGAAGAACGCCTGGCAGAGTAAGCTTTTATTTGTGACTGATGCTGTAAAACCAAGTTCCAAACATTCCAGTGAATATGATTAAACCGCATTCTTTAAGTCCTTTATGTGAGTCATTTTGAAATTATAACTAACTAAGATTATTGGCCAGATCCCTTAAGTGGGAAAGCCACAAAAGGGTTGCCAGTGGGACAGGGTGTGATGACAATGTGACCCTATGAGGCAGGGTGTCACTGTTGGTGAATAACTTTTGGGAAATTCTGAACAAAACAAAGCACGGTTTTTCCTTCACCTGCATGGCACCTGAAACCTAGAGCAGTGCCATGCACACTTAAAACACTCTGGGCCGGGCTTGGCGGCTCAGCCTGTCATCCCAGCACTTTGGGAGGCCGAGGCGAGGGGATTGCCTGAGCCCATGGGTTCGAGACCAGCCTGGGCAACATATCGAGACCATTATCATTTTTTAAAAATGGGGAAGTGGCTGGGTGCGGTGGCTCAAGCCAGTAATCCCAGCACTTTAGGAGGTCGAGGTGAGGGGATTGCCTGAGCTCACAGGTTCGAGACCAGTCTGGGCAACTTGGTGAGACTCAACTCTACAATAAATCGAAAATGAGCCTGCGTGGTAGTGCGCATCTGTAGTTCCGGCTACTTGGAAGCCTGAGGTGAAAGGATCGCCGGAGCCCAGCAGGTCGAGGCCGTGGTGGCCGGGAGCATGCCACTGTACTCCAGCCTGGGCAATGGAGTGAGACTCTGACTCAAAAATAAAAAATAAAACACTCTAAAATATCTCATGTGTGTGTAAAAGGGAGTTGGAGTCTAGGCTCAGATATTTACAAAGGGAAGTTTTCAGCACCGAGCAGTACATTGAAGAGTCACATAGGGACCAGGCACACTGGCTTATGCCTGTAATCCTAGCACTTTGGAAGACAGAGACCGGAGGATCACTTGCGATCTGGAGTTCAAGACCAGCCTGGGCAATATAGGAAGACTTTGTCTCTAAAAAAAACTTCTTAAAAAATTACCCGGGCACGATGGCATGCACCTATAGTTCCAGCTACTTGGGAGGCTGAGGTACTCCAGCCTGGGCATCAGAGCAAGACCCTGAAAAAAAAGAAAGAGGGAGTTGAGGTGGGCATAGTGGCTCATGCCTATAATTCCAGCACTTTGGGAGACCCAAGTGGGAAGATCACTTGAGCCCAGGAGCTTGAGACCAGCCTGGGCAACATAGTGAGCCCTCGTCTCTACAAAAAATAAAAAAAATTGCCAGGCATGGTGGCACAAGCCTGTAGTCCCGGCAATTTAGGAGACTGGGACAGAAGGATCACTTGAGCCCAGGAGATGGCGGCTGCAGGGAGCCATGAGTGCACCACTGCACTCTAGACTGGGCAACAGAATGAGACCTTGACTCAAGAACTTGTCGTTTTTTTATAGGCCACCTTTGTGTACGTGGGCCTGTTCTGTGTGTAGACAGGAAGTTTTGGGGAGAAACGTGTGCAGCTGGCTCTCTTCCTCACCCTTTTCTCGTTCTGCAGGCCGGGTGTTCCTGACTGAAGTCCGGCTCACGTCAGCCCGGCAAGGGCTTTCCCCGCCAGCCTCCTGGGTGGAGACTTGCTCGTGTCCCAAGGGCTACACGGGCCAGTTCTGTGAATCCTGTGCTCCAGGATACAAGAGGGAGATACCACGGGGCGGCCCCTATGCCAACTGTGTGCCCTGCACCTGTCACCAGCATGGCACTTGTGACCCCAACACAGGTGAATCTTCTGGCACTCCGTCCTAAGGCCATCTGGGCTGTACCCAGAACAGCAAGATGAGTACTGACCCGGACAGGGCCAGCCTGGCACAGGCGCCAAGGCGTGGGCCAAGCTGTGGGGAAAACCGGGCACAGAGCCCTCTCGTGCTGCTGCCTGGGCGTCTCATCGTTTAATGAAAGTAGTAAGCCAGGCGTGGTGGCTCACACCTGTAATCCCAGCACTTTTGAGAGGCTGAGACGGGAGGCTGGCTTGAGCTCAGGAGTTCAAGACCAGCCTGGGAAACATAGTGAGATCTCGTCTCTACAAAATAATCAATCAGTTCGCGGCACATGGTGGCATGCACCTGTAGTCCCAGCTACTCAGGAGGCTGAGGCAGGAGGATTGCCTGAGCCCAGGAGGCCGAGGCAGTGGTGAGCTGTGATCATGCCACTGTACTCCAGCCTGGGCAGCAGAGCGAGACCCTGACTCAAAACAAATAAATAAATAAAAGTAGTAACTGGAATTCGTTGAGGCATCAGGCTCTGTGCCAAGGACTTCGTATCGAGTAAGAACCTTAAGCCAGCTGATCTGTGGGCCATCTGCCCATGTGTCCCACCCTCCTGGGCTGGGCCTCCTTCCAGGAAGACCAGGGAAAGACCTCAGGGGTCCTGGCATACTGTAAGAAAGGGCACAGGCATTTGTATGACACGTGAGGGCAGGACGGCTCTCATGAAGGTCACACAGGTGTCAACAGCCCATAAGCATCAACCCAGAGCCACCAACCTGCCACCCTCACCCTGCTGTGGCTGGTGGCCTTGGGAAAGTCCCTTCCCTCCCCGAGCCCACCCCCTCTTCTGTCCGGTGGGGGTCATGATGGTATATCCCTATCTCGGTTGTTGAGATGATGTCACAGAGAGGCCAGGAGATCCTCGGGCTCAGGAAGCAGACCTGATTTGCACCAGAGCTCAGCCATTGCCCGCTGGGCGCGCCTTAAATCTTATCCTGGGAGTGCAGCTGTCCAAAGTCCTCACTATTCAGGACCGTTGGGAAATCCTAAAATAATATAGTGTCACCAAGTCCCTTCACGTGCTGGGCACCTTTTAATACTTTGCATCACTGATTCCTGCAGAAATCCCTGCCTCCGCCCTCACCTTTTAGGCCTACGGTGCAGGATGGTCACATGGCCAGTAGGTGACAGAGCTGCACCACCTACCAGCCTGGACTCAGAAAGGCAGCTGGTCTCTACCAGCTGTTCAGACCCCGGTAAGATCACATGGCCAGGAGGGGCTGGAGTGGGAGGAACCCAGGCCTCTCCACACCTACACTGCAGGCCTCTCACACCAGGAAGCCTGCTGACTGCGGTGAGCAGGTGGATCCCTCTGAAAAGGGAAAGGCATGCTCAGCAATTTTTTTTTTTTTTGCCCCAAAAGACAGTATTCTTGGAATCAGCAGACTTAGCCAGGGAAGGTAAGCTTCACACAGCATACGCTGCCCATGGCAGACATCACTACTTGTGCCCGTGGCAGATATCACTAATCAGGCCCAGATAAGACCTCATAATCCTTCCCCATACAGTGAGCCAGGCAGCCCCTCTTGAGGAAGCAGGGTTTTCTTGTGAGCTGGGACAGGTTTGTCATCCCCACAGAGCCTCTGGCCCTGCCATGACGTCCTGCTTGATTTGGGCAAGTCCTCATCTGTGAAATGGGTAGAATGGCCATTGCCGCCTAGGCTAGGTGTCACTGAGCCTCGGTGCTGTGCCTGGGACAGTTCCCTTTGATGCCTATTCATTCTCCCTGTTCACCTCAGTCCTGTCTGGTTGCTGCTGGGGGCTTCCCGGAAGTGGTGGCCTTGGTTAACCCCTTCTCAGCCAGGCGTCTCACTGATCCCCGGCAGTGGGACCTCCCTTTCCAAGGATCCCAGGCTCCGAGCAGACACCTGGTGTTGCTGGACTGGAGGAGGGAGTTTGCAGAATCCACCATCTTCAGAAGCCAGAGGGCAGGGTGGCGGTTTCATTCTCTGAGACCAGGCAGCTTCTGGGGACCCCAGACCCCACAGAGGGGAGTTCTTTGCAAAAGATGTAAAGGCCAGAATCCTGGGCCTGTGTCTCCCTCAGGGTGACTCCTTCTTCCTCTGGTCCCTTGGAGTTAAGAGGACAGCAGCATGAGAGCGAAGGGTAGCTGTACCACCTGCTGGCTCAGAGAGGTTCAAAATATCAAACAAAAATAGGCCAGGCTGGGCGCGGTGGCCCAAGCCTGGAATCCCAGCACTTTGGGAGTTCAGGTGAGGGGATTGCCTGAGCATACGTGTTCACGAACAGCCTAGGCAGCTTGGCAAGACCTCGTCTCTACGATACATCAACAAATTAGCCAGGCACGGTAGCACACACCTGTAGTGCCGGCTACTTGGAAGGCTGAGGCAGAAAGATCACTGGAGCCCAGCAGGTCGACGCTGGAGTGGCTATGAGTGTGCCACTGCACTCCAGACTGGGTGACAGAGTGACATTCCAACTCAAAAAAAAAAGTCCAGATGCAGTGGTTCATGTAATCCAAGCACTTTGGGAAACCAAGGATTGCTTGAGCCCAGGAGTTTGAGACCAACCTGGGCAACATAGCAAGATCCCGTCTCTCCCCCCCAAAAAAATAGCTAGGTGTGGTGGCATGCCCCTCTAGTGCCAGCTACTTGGGAGGCTGAGGTAGGAGGATCCCCTGAGCCCAGGAGGTCGAGGCTGCAGTGAGCCATGATCGTGCCAATGCATTACAGTATGGGTGACAGAGTGAGAACCCAACTCTAAAAAAAAAAAAGGAAAATTAAAAATAACAGTTCAAATGAAAATGGGTGCCCAGGAGTGTGCGAGGCATGTAGAATGCATGATCTCATGGAATCCTGGCGAAAGCCCTTTGACATCAATGCTGTTGTTGGTCCCATCCTGTAGGTGAGGACACTGAGGCATGGGAGTGTTAGACGATTTGCCTGGGTTCACAGGAGCAGGTGATGGGCATGATCCCAGGGTGGTCCGGCTCCCGGCCTGCCGTCTCCATCCCGGGCCCTGCCACCTCCACCTTGGGACCCCTGCCACTTCTTCCTGGGATGTGCTCCGTGACGTTCCCCGCCAGGACGCCCAGCATCATGGGGTGTTCTGGGCTCGGGCCGTGGTGAGCAGGCATTTGTTTTGCCCCTCAGGGATCTGCGTGTGCAGCCACCACACCGAGGGCCCGTCCTGTGAGCGCTGCCGGCCAGGTTTCTACGGCAACCCCTTCAGAGGCCAAGCGGACGACTGCCAGCCCTGCCCCTGCCCAGGACGGTCTGCCTGCACGACCATCCCAGAGAGCGGGGAGGTGGTGTGTACCCACTGCCCCCCAGGCCAGAGAGGTGAGTGACCGTGCCCTGGGCCCTGCCCTGCGGGAGGGCCAAGCCCCCGGTGCCCTGCCCCTGCTCTGGGCTCCAGGGGTGGAGCTCCGGGTTTGGGGGGTAGCAGGTGCGGGAGAGCCCAGTTTAGGGCTGGCAGGCATGACCTCTGGGGACACTGAGTCCCTTAGCCCCAGAACCAGGGCCCCAGGCTGCTGTGGGTTGTAGGCACAACTTGAGCCATTGAGCTTTTGAAAATATCCGTACCTTGCCAGCCTGGAGGCTCATGCCTGTAATGCCAGCACTTTGGAAGGCCAAGGCGGGAGGATGGGTTGAGCCCAGGAGTTTGAGACCAGCCTGGGCAACATAGTGAGACCTTGTCTCTACAAAAAGATTTTAAAATTAGCCGGATGTGGTGGCGTGTGCCTGGAGTCCCAGCTACTTGGGAGGCTGAGGCAGAAGAATTACCTGATCCCAGGAGGTTGAGGCTGTGATGAGCCACATTTGTGGCACTGCACTCCAGGCTGGGTGACAGAGTAAGACCCTGACTCAAAATATAAAAACAAACAAAAAACTGCACCAGGTGCAGTGGCTCACACCTGTAATCCCAGCACCTTGAGAGGCCGAGGCAAGAGGATTGCTTGAGCCCAGGAGTTTGAGACCAGCCTGGGCAACGTAGTGAGATCTCGTCTCTGCAAAAATAAAATAAAAAATTAGCCGTGTGGTGGTGTGCACCTATAGTCCTAGGTGGAAGGCCTAGGTGGAAGAACTGCCTGAGCCCAGAAGTCGGAGACTGCAGTGAGCTGTGATCATGCCAGTGCACTCTAGCCTGGATGACAGATTAAGACCCTGACTTAAAAAACAAACAAACAACCGGGCTTGGTGGCTCAGCCTATAATCCTGCGCCTTTGGGAGGCTGAGGTGAGTGGATTGCCTGAGCCCGCGGGTTCGAGACCCGCTGGGCAGCGAGACCTCTTCTCTACAATAAATCAAAAAACTAGCCGGGCGTGGTAGTGAGTGCCTGTAGTTCCAGCTACTCGGAAGGCTGAGGCAGAAGGATCGCCGGAGCCAGCAGGTCGAGGCTGCGGTGGCTGGGAGCGGCCACTGCACTCCAGTCTGGGTGACAGAGTGAGACTCCAACTCAAAAAAAAAAATAAAGTATATACAATTCAATTAGCTTTTGGCATATGACATTATTAACTTTTATTGTAGTAAAATATATAACATGAAAGATGTCATTTGAATCATTTTTATGTGTATAGCTCATTGCCATGAGGTCTATTCCCTATGTTGTGAAACCGTTGTTACCATCTATCTCCAGAACTTTATCATCTTCTCAAATGGAAAATGTGCCCAGCTCATTTTGATTTATTGTAGAGATAAGGTCTTGCCAAGTTGCCCAGGCGGGTCTCGAATTCGCGGACTCAGGCAATCCACTCACCTCAGCCTCCCAAAGTGCGGGATTACAGGCTGAGCCACCGAGCCCGGCTAGTGCCCAGTAAATCTATTGTTGAATTGTTCCTCCTCCCTCCAGACCCTGATAACAATTCTTCCAGTTTCCGTCTCTCTGAATTTGCCTATTCTCGGTATCTTGTATCAGTGGAATCCTTCAGTATTTGTTCTTTAAAAAAAGAGAGAGAGACAGGGTCTCACTTTGTTGCCCAGGCTGGTCTCGAACTCCTGGGTTCAAGTGATCCTCCCACCTTGGCCTTCCAAAGTGCCTGGTTTGCAGGCGTGAGCCACCTACCGCACCCGACTGAGTCTTTGTCCTTTTGTGTCTGGCTTGTTTCACTTAGTGTGATGTTTTCACGGCTCCTAGACATCTGATTCTGCTTCCGGTGCCTATGGCTGCATTAATCGGTCCTGTCAAATGCCCTGTGTTTCTGGGACCATTCTGAGAGCAGCATTCCAGCAGCCCTCGGGGCAGGGTTGACGGCCCAATGCAGGGAGCCGCTGCCTCCCATTCCCTTAAGCTTCCCGCATTTCCTGGCTCCTGACTGTGGCTCTTTTGCAGACACAAGCAAGGCCCAGCTAATAACAGAGGACAAGCAGGGAAGCCCAGGCTGGCCAGGCTGAGATGTACCCAGGGGAGGATTCCAGGGAGCCAGACAGCAGGCGCTGCTGTGTGCAGAGGGAACTGCCCTGGGAGGGAGGGTCACCTGGAGAGGACTTTAGGTCCAGGGGCTCTGGCCAGCCCCTTTCTTTATCCACATCGGCGTCCTGAACCCTTCCTAGGACCTCCAGAGCTGCCTTCCTCCCAGAGAGCTGTCCTCAACTTGGTCCCAGGCGAGTGGCTGGTGAACTATGGGTTCACACTCTTCATCACCAGCTCCAATTTCCCTCTATAACTTTTTTTTTTTGAGTCGGGGTCTCACTCTGTTACCCAGGCAGCACAATCACAGCCCACCACAGCCTTGACCTCCCTTCAGCCTCAGCTTCCCCAGCAGCTGGGAGTATAGGTGCATGTCACCACACCCAGTGAATTTTTTTTTTTGTAGAGACAAGGTCTGGCTCTGTTGCCCAAGCTGGTCATCCTGGACACACACACACACACACACACACACACACACACACACACACACACACACACACACACACATGGGACATGAAACTGCATGTGAGCAAGGTAGCTTAACGCACTCATCATCTTGCCAACGTGGCTACTCTTTGGGCCTGTGGGTCCCCAGGTTTCTGTTTCATGTCGATGTCTGCAGAGGTGTGCGGGTTTACAAAGAGCGCCTGACACAGCACGAAACACACGGTGTGTGCTTGTATGCCCCATCTGTGTCCAGAGTGGACCTCCAGGCCACCACCCCCTCCAAAAGCCTCTGCACAGCATCTCTTCCGAGGCTCACTGGGTGCCCCCAGGGAAGTTGAGGCAGCAACTCCAGGAGGCAGGGCAGGAGTTTGAAGTGCCCAGTACAGAGGAGGCTCCGAACCATGGGAAGCAGGACAGGGAAAGGGGCCAGGAGGCTGGGCACAGTGGCTCAGCCTGTCACCCCAGCACTCTGGGAGGCCAAGGCGAGCGGATTGCCTGAAGCCAGGGGTTCGAGACCCACCTGGGCAACTTGGCGAGACCTCGTCTCTACAGTAAATCAAAAGATTAAGCCGGGTTTGGTGGCTCAGCCTGTAATCCCGCGCCTTGGGAGGCTGAGGTGAGCGGATTGCCTGAGCCCACAGGATCGAGACCCGCCTGGGCAACTTGGCGAGACCTCATCTCTACAATAAATCAAAAATGAGCCAGGCGTGGTAGCGCGCGCCTGTAGTTCCAGCTCCTTGGAAGGCTAAGGCGGAAGGATCGCCGGAGCCCAGCAGGGCGAGGCTGCGGTGGCCAGGAGCGGCCACTGCACTCCAGTCTGGGTGACAGTGAGACTCCAACTCAAAAAAAAAAAAAAAAAGATGCAGGTGAAGGTGGTGATGATGGCAACGTGGACGAATAGGTGACCGCCCTGCCATTGAGCACTCACCATGTGCCAGGCCCTTTGTTAAGTACTGTGCACAAGTTATGTCCCCAAACCCTCTCAACAGTCCTGTGAGATAGCTGCCATTGTCCTCGCTTTATAGAGGAGGATCCTGAGTTCAGAGAGGCACAGTGGCTTGCCCAAGACCACCCGGCCCCAGGTCTGCCTGCCCAGAGCCCATGCTCTGCTCCACGAGGAGGCTGGAGGGACAGTCACTTTGCTTCCAGTCATCCTTTCCCCTGGGGGCCCATCAGGCCGGTGTCCCTCACTCCTGCTCCCTCCTCACACAGGGCGGCACTGTGAGATCTGTGATGATGGCTTTTTTGGGGACCCGCTGGGGCTCTCTGGGGTCTCCCGGCCCTGCCGCCAGTGCCAGTGCAGTGGGAACGTGGACCCCAACGCTGTGGGCAACTGCGACCCCTTGTCTGGCCGCTGCCTGCGCTGTCTGTACAACACTACGGGTGACCGCTGTGAGCGCTGCCAGGAAGGCTTCTACGGGAATGCCCTGGCCCCCCGGCCCGTGGACAAATGCGCGCGTGAGTACCCGCCTCCCAGACCCACGGGGAGGGGCGCCGCGGGCCCCTTCTCTGCCCTGGCTCAGGACCCAGGCGGGATGACTGGGGAGCCCACCAGAACCAGCTGGCCCCTCTGTGAAGCTGTGCACCCTTAGGCAGGTGACTTCCCTTCTCTGTCTCCTTTTCCAGAAAGCACAAGGGTGTGCTTGTGTCCACCCTGAGATCTTGGAACTCTGATACTGTGGTTAGTTTTTCCCTGTCTTGATAGTCTGGCTCTATCTCATGCTTTCTTTTTTTTTTTTCCAAGCCAAACTGTATCCAGCTTTATTAAAGATACTTTTCATAAACAATCATGGTATTTCAGGCAGGACATGGGCAGACGATCTTTAACAGTATACAACAACTTTCAACTCCCTTCTTTAATGGACTGCCAAAATCAGAAAGCCATTATAAAAATCCAATGAAGTCTTCATTTGATGCTCTGAACAGGGAAGAAGTTTAGAGTGAGGGTTGACATTTCACATTTAGCATGTCGTTTGACAACTTTTCACAAGCTGACCCTGACTTTCAGGAAATGAAATGAAAATGGCAGAATTTGTCTGCATTTTTGATAACTGTGTACTTCTGGTGACTGTACAGTTTGAAATACTGTTTTTTATCAAGTTATCTCATGCTTTCCAACTAGCATGTAAGGCTGTCCCAGTGGTCTTCCTGCCCCCAGGCCTCCAATTGGAAGCTCAGCATTGGCCCCAGGCTGACTTGCCCTGGCGCCCTTTCCCACGTAGTGCCTGTCAGTGCCTTGATTCAATGAGCCCCTTCTAGAAACATGGCTCTGGCCCACTGTGAGCTGCTGCGCTTGTAGAAGCCAGAGGAGCAGGGTCACATGACCCAGAACATGCTCCACCTGTGACCCCACCCGAATCTCTGGCTTTCTCTCTGGCCTGCCAGGGCTCAGGGTGGACTCAGAAGGGCAACCGCCACCATGATGATGCTGGGCTCTCTCCAAGGACCCAGCCAGCGGGCTGAGATTCGTGCTCAGGGAGGGGCTTTGGAATTCCGCTGCGGTGCACGGCATCCCACCTGGCCCCCAGCCCACCCCCCAGGGTTGGACTGACAATCTGCGTGGCTCCTCAGTGCCTTTCCCCGCCCCCACCCACAGCCTGCAGCTGCCACCCTGGGGGCTCAGTCAGTGAGCAGACACCCTGCGACCCGGTGACGGGCCAGTGCTCCTGCCTGCCTCGTGTGACCGGCCGGGACTGTGGCCGCTGCAGCCCCGGCTTCTTCAACCTCCAGCCTGGGAGGGGCTGCCAGAGGTAGGTGGGCGAGGCTGTGTCCCTCACCGAGATAGAAGAAAGCGCCAGGGAGGGGCCTGGTTTGGAAGGTGTCGTCCCAGGCACACTGCCAGGTACACTGTACCTTTCATCAAAGGGGAACAAAGGGCCGGTCAGCTGGCGTCAGACTCCTGGCCCAGCCAGCCTAGGACACAGGCCAAGAGCAGCCCTAGGGGATGTCCAGGCGGGCAGGTGGCCCATTTGGTCTCTGAGTCCCTTCTCAGTGACGCCCGTCACTGGGTGGCCTTTTTGGCCACAGCAGCACCTTAGATAAGTAAGGGTCTTTACGGAGCAGGGGAGGACTCCAGAGAAACAGCAAGTGAATCATTTTTCTTCTTTGCGGGACTTCTCAGAGCCTTTAATATGCTAATTGCACTGTGACTTTCTAACAGAGGGATACGGTTTCTCCAAGACGTATTTGTCCCCATAGCTTTTGTTCTTCTTTTGGCCAGCATCCTGTGAGACTTGTACTTCCCAGAGCACAGTTTGGGGAGGCTGTTGACATGTCCTGACAGGTGATGGGGCCTTGTCCACAGCGGGCTGTGATCTGAGGTCCCCGGTCAGCTGCAGCCATCACAGGCTTGCCCGAGCTTGCCTGAGTCCGGTTCTTTCCCTTATCACAGCTGCAAGTGTCACCTGCTGGGCTCCCAGGAGGACCGGTGCCACCCCAAGACTGGACAGTGTCCCTGCCGCCCAGGCATCACAGGCCAGGCCTGTGACAGATGCCAGCTGGGTTTCTTCGGCTTCTCCATCAAGGGTTGCCGGGGTAAGGAGGCTGGGTCCTTTCCAGGCTACCGGAGGGGTGGGGCCTGAGGTCTCTGGGCAGGGATGACCCAAGGGCTGCCAAGGAACATGGAACAAGTAGCCAGGGCAGAATTGCCAGTGTCCTCATGCCAGCCTGGGAATCTAGTCCCCGAAGCCACCCCCGAGTGCCTGTGTGCCTGGAGCCAGCGTGTCCCCTCTCTGCGCCTCAGTTTCCTCACCTGTAGGATTGGGCTGCACTGGCAGTTCCTAAGCCTGGCTGGTCCTCAGATCCCCACGGAACATTTCAGTAAGTCAGGCTCTAGGTCACCATCACCTTCAACCTTTTGAATCAAAATCTTCTGGGAACCAGGCTCGGTGGCTCAGCCTGTAATCCCGCACTTTGCGAGGCTGAGGTGAGTGGATTGCCTGAGCCTGTGGGTTCGAGACCTGTCTGGGCAACTTGGCGAGACCTCATCTCTACAATAAATGAAAAAATCAGCCGGGCGTGGTAGCGCGCGCCTGTAGTTCCAGCTACTTGGAAGGTGGAGGCAGAAGGATTGCCGGAGCCCAGTGGGTTGTGGCTGCGGTGGCCGGGAGCGGCCACTGCACTCCAGTCTGGGTGACAGAGTGAGACTCCAACTCAAAAAAATAAAAATAAAAAATAAATAAAAAAATATTAAAAATCTTCAGGGAAGGGCCCAAGCATCTGTACGTGAGGTGCCCAGGGTATTCTGGGAGTGCCCAGAACTCAGCATCCGCTGCCACGGATCCCTCCAGCCTGCAGGTGCTCCCCGCTGGGCTCTGCCTCTTCCCAGTGCCACGAGAACAGCACATGTGTGTGCAAGCCTGGCTTCGTGGGTTACAAGTGTGACCGCTGCCAACACAACCATTTCCTCACGGCCGGCGGCACACAGTGCCAGGAGTGCCCACCCTGCTACGCCCTGGTGAAGGAGGAGGTGAGTCTGACCCCGCCCAGGGTCCAGGCCCCGCCCAGGGTCCTGCCACACCCTCCGGCTCATTCCACAACCCTTACCCTCGGCTCTCAGGCCTTGCGAGTCTGCCTGCCACCTTCTCCCTGTGCCCACCCGGCCTCCTGGCCCTTTCCAGCCTGGCTCAGCCCTCACCCCAGCCCTTCCTGGCTCCGGATGGACGGGAGAAAGGTGGCTTTGGTCACCCACCCTTCCCGACCACCCTGGGCTGAGGCTTCTCACTTTCTCGGGTTCAGGGGGATGAGACCACTGACAGACCCTTGGTAAAGAGCAGGCAATGCCCATTCTAGGTACAAAGAGAATTTCGTGCAGGGAGGTGGGTGGTGCAGGAGTTGGTGATCGAGCTCTAGGGTTTACCCATCGGGGCTGCCTTGCCCTAGTCCTGTGAGCTGTCTTGTGCCCAGGCAGGTGGCAGCCTGGGTGAGCCTCAGTCTCTCCTGCTCCAAAGTGGAGATAGTCCGGACCCACACCCCCTTAGGAAACCAGTGAGGCCAGCTCTGGGGGTGTGTGGTGTTGTGGAGAGATGAGATGAGGTGCCCCGAATATCAGGCCACACTCACAGCTGCAAATGGGCCAGCCCACAATCAAACCATTGACCATGTTGCAAGAAAACAGATGGATATTTACACCAAGTGAGTTGACAAAGACAATTAACAAATAGTTTTGGAGTTTTTTTTGAGTTGTTGTCTCACTGTGTCACCCAGGCTGGAATGCAGTGGCACACTCACGGCCACCTTGGCATTGACCTGCTGGGCTCAGGCGATCCTTCTGCTTCAACCTTCCAAGTAGCTGGAACTATGGGCATGCTTTACCATGTCCGGCTAATTTTCATTTTTTTTTTTGTAGAGGTGAGGTCTCGCCAAGTTGCCCAGGCTGGTCTTGAACCTGCGGGCTCAGGCAGTCCTCTCACCTCAGCCTCCCAAAGTGCTGGAATTACAGGCTTCAGCCACCGCACCCGGCAACAATTATTTTAAAGCATGGTATTCCTGGCTGGGTGAGTTGGCTCACGCCTGTAATCGTAGTATTTTGGGAGGCGAAGGTGAGAGGATTTCCTGAGCTCAGGGATTTGAGACCAATCTGGGCAACTTGGCAAGACCTCGTCTCTACAACGAATCAAAAAATTAGCTGGGTATGGTGGCGCATGCCTGTGGTTCTAGTTCCTTGGAAGGCTGAGTTGGAAGGATCACTTGAGCCCAGCAGGTCAAGGCTGCTGTGGCCGTGAGTGTGCCATTATATTCCAGTACTCCAACCTGGGCAACAGAGTGAGACTCCAACTAAAAACAGCAACAGGCTGGGCACAACGACTCACACCTATAATCCCAGCACTTTGGGAGGCCGAGGTGAGAGGATTGCCTGCAGTTCAAGACCAGCCTGGGTAACTTGGCAAGTCCTCATCTCTACAATAAATAAATAAAAATATCAGGGGGGGAGGGGAAGGGAGATGGGTTTAATGGTAGTAAGTATGTGTCTGGGGACAGGGAGGCATCTCTTATCAACAAGGGTGCCTGAACGAAGCATATTTGTATACCTAACCCTTAACTGTACCCCACAATATCATCATAAAAAAAAAAAAAATATTACAAGCCGAGCCACCGAGCCTGGTTTGATTTTTTTTTTTTTTTTTATTATAGAGATGAGGTCTCTTTGCCCAGGTGGGTCTCAAACCCGCGGGCTCAAGCAATCCACTCACCTCAGCCTCCCAAAGGCACGGGATTACAGGCTGAGCCACCAAGCCCAGCCATAAAAATATTGATTATAAAAAAAAAAAATCAGCCAGGTGTGGTGGCGCATGCCTGTAGTTCCAGCTATTGGAAGACTGAGGCAGAAGGATCACCTTGAGTCCAGCAGGTCAAGGCTGTGGTGGCCTTGAGTGTGCCACTGCACTCCAGCCTGAGTGACAGCGTGAGACTCCAATTCAAAAAAATAAATAAATAAATAAAATAAAATAAAAACAACAGCAACAAAAAAACCAGTATTCCTTCCAAGTGCGTTCAGGTCATATTTTCCTGTCGCATGAGGAAGGGAAAGCTTCATGGTTTTTTTGAGAGCCTTTTGAACTTTGGGTTTGGGGACAGGGCTGTGCTTGGGTGGCCTCGTGACCTTCCTCATAGAGAGGTTATGAGGGGATGCGAGCTGGAGTGTGGCAGCCATTCGTGTCGTGGCTGGCTCCTGATAAGTGCTCAGTACATGCAGTGAGTGTCATACGACCAAGAGCCAGGCTGGGGCATGGTCATAGCACACCCAGCCAGCATGTGTCCGTGGCACGCCTGCTCTGTGCAGAGTCCTGGGAATACAGTGAACAGGACGGACAGAAACTCTCATGGGATGCCACTTCCCACACCAACCTCCCCCCACCACTCCCAGCCCACAGCGGGACAGAGGTGAGATGGACTGTGTCAGCAGGTGTTGTTGGATGTGACAGGGACAGCCACAATGGGGTGGGTGGGCAGGGTTGCTTCACAGAGGTAGGGTGTGCCCTTGGCTTTGAGGCCCAAGGTAGGATTTGAAGAAAGGAGCCCGCGGGAGGTGTCTGGGCAGGATTTCCAGGCCACCAACCTCACACACCTCTTCTTCTCTGTCCCTTCCAGGCAGCCAAGCTGAAGGCCAGACTGACTTTGATGGAGGGGTGGCTACAGGGGTCGGACTGTGGCAGTCCCTGGGGACCCCCAGACATTCTGCAGGGAGAGGCCCCATGGGGAGACCTCTACCAGGGCCTCCACCTGCTGCCAGGTATGGTGGGAGAGCAGGGCGGGAGACCAGGAGGCCAGGGGGAGTCACATGGCCTAGTCAGATGCTGAGTCCTGTCACCGTGGTCCTCTCCTCCAACGTCCCAAACCCACTTGTAACTTTATTAATATCGGTTCCAGGCTGGGCGAGGTGGCTCACGCCTATAATCCCATCACCTTGGGAGGCTGAGGTGGGAGGATCACTTGAGTCCAGGAGTTTGAGACCAGCCTGGGCAACATAGCAAGATCTCATCTCTACAAAAAAATGAAAAAATGAGCCAAACGTGGTGGCATGCACCTGTAGTCCCAGCTACTCAGGAGGCTGAGAAGGGAGGATTGCCTGAACCTAGAAGGTCGAGGCTGCAGTGAGCTGTGATCATGCCTGGGCAATAGAGTGAGACCCCAACTAAAAAATATATGTGACCGGGTGTGGTGGCTCAAGCCTGTAATCCTAGCACTTTGGGAGGCCAAGGCGAGAGGATCGCCTGAGGCCATGGGTTCAAGACCAGGCTGGGCATCATGGTGAGACCTCGTCTCTACAATAAAATAAAACATTAGCTGGGCGTGGTAGCATGCTCCTGTAGTCCTGGCTACTTGGAAGGCTGAGGCAGAAGGATCTCTGGATCCTAGCAGGTCAATGCTGGGGTGGCCATGAGCGTGACACTGCACTCCAGCCTGGGCGACAGAATGAGACTCCAACTCAATATGTGTGTGTGTGTGTGTGTGTGTGTGTGTGTGTGTGTGTGTGTGTGTGTGTTGATCCTTGTCTCCACGTTCCCTGCCCTACCCAGACTCTAAGCTCAGTGAGTTCATGGGCTGGGTTCATTCATTTATCTGCTCACTCCACAAAAAATCTCAGGGCATTGCACAGGGCTGAACCAGTAGCATCCCACCGTGCTGATCCTTGGCTGTTTTCCTTATGGTGCTTGACATGTAGAAAATAAATGGGTAAATATGAAAGTGAAGGTGACCTGTCACTAAACCCAGGAGGAATTTGGCCCAGGGACACGGAAAGTTGGAGGGGACTGAGAATGAATGGGTTCCTCTGTGAAATGTCCTCTGTGAAATGTCCTCACCACTGAATTAGGGGCCATCAGATGTCAGGCTTAAATTGCCCACGTGTGAGCCCACTGCACACCACAGAGATGATTCGAGAGGAGGGTCACTGCTCTCCCTGACTCTGGAATTGCTTGTGTGCCTCTGGAAGGCCTGGGTTCCATCCAGGCCCTCAGGCGTGACTGGCTTACTGTGGGTAGAGCCTTGGGTCACGATTTCCCTTCTCCGGGCCTCATCTGTAAAATAATGTGACCTGCTGGGTGCAGTGGCTCACGCCTGTCATCCCAGCACTTTGGGAAGCCGAAGCAGTTAGAGCTTGAGCCCAGGAGTTAGAGACCAGCCTGGGCAACAGAGAGTGAACTCGTATTTACCAGAAAAAAAAAAAAAGAATTAGCTGAGCATGGTGGTGCATGCCTGTGGTCCCAGCTACTTGGGAGGCTGAGGTGGGAGGGTCGCCTGAGCCCAGGAATTTTAGCCTGCAGTGAGCCAAGATCATGCCACTGCACTCTGGCCTGGGTGACAAAGTGAGACCCCCAACTCAAAACCAAAATGGGGTCACTCTTTCCTTGGGAACATGGGTGCCTGGGCTCGTGCTGGAGTTCACCTGCCTGGGAGAATGGAGGGCACAGGAGGAGGCCCTGGGGGGTAGGGTGGGCCCTTGGTGTGACATCTCAGCCGCTCTGTGACCCCTGGGCTGCGGGCTTCCTGCAGGGGTCCGAGAAGCCTTCCTGGAGCAGACGACAGGCCTCGAGGGAACTGTGAAGGCTGCCCGGGAGCAGCTGCGGGCGCTGAGCAAGGGTGCCCACTGTGCCCAGGCCAGTGCCCAGAAGACCTGCATCCAGCTGACTGACCTGGAGGCGGCACTAGAGTCCTCAGGGGAGGAGATCCTGCACGCAGCCTCCGTTCTCACGTCTCTGGTACCCCAGGGCATCCCCCACCCCTCTGAGCCAGGCCTTGGTCTTGTCCCAGTCCTGCCATTGACCTGGTGACCTTGGGCGTGCCTCCTGCTTCCTGAGGCTCAGTTGTCCCGCAGAGTGAGGCTCACAGGGTTCAGTGAGAGAACATGGCAAGCCAGACGTGTTCCGCATAGACAGTGAATGCACAGAAAGTAGCAGGCAGTGTCCTTCTTGGCGTTTCCACATCCAGGACTGTGCCCACGGATCTGACTTGGTGCATTGATAAAACTGGCCAGGTGCAGTGGCTCACACCTATAGTCCCAGCACTTTGGGAGGCCAAGGCAGGAGCATTGCTTGAGCCCAGGAGTTCGAGATCAGCCTGGGCAACAAAGCAAGATCCCGTCTCTACCAGAAATTTTGAAAATTAGCCAGATGTGGTGGCTCACACCACTATTTCTAGCCACTTGGGAGGCTGAGGCAGGAGGATCACTTGAGCCCAGGAGTCAGAGGCTGCAGTGAGGCATGATCACCATACTGCACTCCAGCCTGGGCAACACAGTGAGACCCTGTCTCAAAAAAAATAAGTACTGAGGCAGAAGGATCGCCGGAGCCCAGCAGGTCGAGGCTGCGGTGGCCGGGAGCGTCCACTGCACTCCAATCTGGGCGACAGTGAGACTCCAACTCAAAAAAAAAAAAAAATTAAAATTACGGGTGCTGTCCAGTTCTGCCCCATTGTTTAGCCACATGTGGCCCTTGCCCCCCAGGGATGGGCTGTAAGTGTCCTCCTCTGTCCCTTTTCTCTCTTGAGGTGATTCCTCAGGAAGGGTCCGGCCAGCCCACCAACTGGAGCCATCTGGCCACAGAGGCCCGCGTCCTTGCCAGGAGGTGAGCCCCGAGGTCCTGGGGGCATGGTGAGGTCATGCCCAGCTCTTCTCCTGTGGGTGCTAGGGTCAGAGTCAGCCCCACAGTTGCCCCTCCCTGGGGGTTGGGATCAGATGATGTAATTGCTTCCTTGTTGTGGGACAAGTGTGACCACCATGAGGAGAGGTAAACAAGGGGAGGTTCAAGCCAGAGAGCGTCTGCTGGCTTTAAAAAAAAAACAGCTTTAGGCCAGGCATGGTGGCTCATGCCTGTAATCCCAGAACTTTGGGAGGCCAAGGAGAGAGGATCGCCTGAGCTCAGGAGTTCGAGACCAGCCTGGGCAACATGGTGAGATGTCTGTTTAAAAAATCAAAAAATTAGCCAGGCATGGTGGCACACACCTGTAGTCCCAGCTACTCGGGAGGCTGAGGTGGGAGGATCACCCAAACCCAGGAGGTCAAGGCTGCAGTAAACTATTATCATCACTGCCCTCCAGCCTGGTGAGAGTGAGACCCTGTCTCTAAAAAACGAAACAGGAACAGACATGTGGGCTGGGTACCAGGCAGAGGTAGAAAAGGAGTCTCTGTCCTCGTGGCTGTGCTCTGTCTGGGACAGCAAGAGGCCCCTGTGGTAAAGGTGTGTGTTTGGGCCCAAGCCCTTCTGTGTGAACTCTTGGTGATGGTCGGGTGGGTGTTCTCATGCAGCCACAGAGACACCGCCGCCAAGATCAAGGCCACTGCCCGGAGGGCCCTACTGGCCTCCAACACCAGTTACACGCTTCTCTGGAGTCTGGTGGAGGGAAGGGCAGCCCTGGAGGCTCAGCGGGAACTGGAGGACAGGTGAGACCTCCCCAGGTGTGGGAAGAAGCTTGGGCTTGGCTCTGGAGCCAGTGGGGCCTGGCTAGAGGCTGCCGGTTCTGGAACCCACTTCCCCTGAGTCCTGGTGTTCTCTGGCGTTGGTGTCTGGGGTCGACGTCCCACTCGGAGTGGGGCCATGAGGTCTTGGCCCACTTGGTGGTGAGTTACAAGAACCCATTCACGCCTGGGGCATGCAGCTCAGCCTCTGGAGACACAAGACAAGAACTGGAACCCAGAGCCATGAATCTCTGGCTTTCTGCCGCGGCAGCCCTTGAGTCCCGCATTTCCTCTTCAAGTCCAAGTCCTCGCCCAAGTACTCCCAGCTCCTCTTTGGTACCAGCTTGCTTTCTTTGCCTCTGCAGACCAGTGGGCGCTGCTTCTGTGCTCTGGGTGACCCCTTCTCTCCATCTCAGTTCAAGGGTCAGTGAAGACCAACCAGCATCCCAGGTTGACATTCCTAGATGAGAAAATATGATTGGCTCAGCTTGGACCAGGTGTCCAGCCCTAAGCCGATCAGCATGACTGGGGTGAGGTCACATGACCTGGATGCTGGCTCTCGGAGAAGGGGCTCAGGGTGGGAGAGAAATCAGGGTTCTCCACCCTCGCGGTGCCCCTGTGCAGGACGACTGAGTGGAGTGGAGGGTGGCCAGCTGGACAGGACAGAAAACCCATTCTGGTCGGCTGATGACAGACCACAGGCCGTCAGGGCAAAGGGCCCATGGTGATCCTGCAGCCCAGGGGTCTCCATTTACCAGTGGAGCAGACACACCCTTCCCTCACCACCAGGCATTCTCCTCTTACAGCTCATCCAGAGGAGACAAGCAGTTGCAAAATGCATGATTTTTGCATGGAAACTGATGCCAGTGGGGTGTGATGTAGTTGTTCTGTTGGTTCTTTGACTTCACCACAGAAAAGAATTTCAGAGTGAGTCCAAAGCATAGACTAAGATAGAGTTTAGGCTGGGTGTGGTAACTTACACCTGTATAATCCTAGCACTTTTGGAGGCCGAGGCGGGAGGATTGCTCAAGCCCAGGAGTTCAAGACCAGCTAGGTAACATAGCGAGACCTCATCTCAAAAAAAAAAAAAAAAAAAAAAAAGCCGGGTTCGGTGGCTCAGCCTGTAATCCCAGCGCTTTGGGAGGCTGAGGTGAGTGGATTGCCTGAGCCTGCGGGTTCGAGACCTGCCTGGGCAACTTAGCGAGACCTCATCTCTACAGTAAATCAAAAACTAGCCGGGTGTGGTAGCATGTACCTGTAATTCCAGCTACTTGGAAGGCTGAGGCAGAAGGATCGCCGGAGCCAGCAGGTCGAGGCTGCGGTGGCCGGGAGCATCCACTGCACTCCAGTCTGGGCGACAGAGTGGGACTCCAACTCAAAAAAAAAAAAAGAGAAAATAGCTTCAGCGTAGCAGCCGCTTTCCAAGGGTATCCAGCTGAATACCCGCCCCACAGAGGGCAAATCTGCCTGGCAAGCAGGAAGAGGCCTTTGCAAGTCAGGGGTCCAGACCGTGATGGGGAAGGATGGTCCTGCCCCCTGCTGCACGATTCATCCTGACTTCTGTTTCCTCACAGGTACCAGGAGGTCCAGGTGGCCCAGAAAACGCTGGGCACGGCTGTGGCAGAGCTGCTACCCGAAGCAGAGAGGGTGCTGACGGCCTCACGCCCAGCCTTGCTGGCTGCCCCTGCAGCACCGGTCAGCTCAGTGGTCCTCAGAGCTCTGTCCGGGATGGGGGAGGGGAGGCCTAGCCTAGCAGCTGGTAAAACCAGTGCGGCCCAGGCAGAGACAGGTGACACGTGGCTTATCTTTAACTTTCTAGCAGCTGTTTCAAATAAGACAGTCCACCCGCAGGGCTTGCAGTTAGAGTTCAGCTAGTGTTTGTTGTTGATGGCAGTAATAAAATCAAGACTGGAACTGCTTCTTCATCATAGTGACATCAGCAGTGACACCAGATGGGACGTGAGACGAAATCCCAGCTCCGCTACTCTAGCTTTGTGACCTGGCTGAGAACTTTCCGTCTCTGAACCCCAGTGGCTTTGTCTGTAACATGGAGCTGGCCCCTTAGGTTATTTTAGGGCTGCTTCCAGGAGGCGATTTTAGAATAATGCACAAAGTGGTTGGTTGGCCCCTCTGTGGCTGTCACCCTGTACTCATCACCTCTGGGTAAATCAGGTAAATCCAATGTGTCTTCTTGGTAACCCCGAAATTTTAAAACTCAAACACTGAGCTTTAGCCTGGCATAATGTCTCATGCCTGTAACCCCAGTACTTTGGAAGGCTGAGGTGAGAGGATTGCTTGAACCCAGGAGTTCAAAACTACCCTGGACAACATAGCAAGGCCACGTCTCTACAAAAAAAAAAAAGAAAAAAATTAGCCGGGTGTGGTGGTGTGTACCTGTAGTCCCATCTACTTGGGAAGTTGAGGCAGAAGGCTTTTCTGAGTCCTGGATTTTGAGACTGTGGTGAGCCATGATCGTGCCACTGCACTCCAGCTGAAAGATACTGACAAAATACAAAAAATACAAAAAAAGAAGGAAGGAGGGAGGGAGGGAGAAACTGAGCTTATATAAGTATATTTGAGGGCTGGGCGTGGTGGCTCATGCCTATAATTCCAGCACTTTGGGAGGCTGAGGTGAGAGGACTGCCTGAGCCCACAGGTTCAAGACCAGCCTGGGCAACTTGGCGAGAACTCATCTCTACGATTAAAAAAAAAAAATTAGCTGGGCATGGTGGCCCGTGGTTCCAGCTACTTGAAAGGCTGAGCAGAAGGATCGCCTGAGCCCAGAAAGTCAAGGCTGCAGTGGCTGTGAGCATGCCACTGCACTCCAGCCTGGGGGACAGAGTGAGACTCCACCTCAACAAAACCAAACAAAAAACAAAAAAAAAAATGTATTTGAGACAAGACCTGACCCAGGCTGACCTGAGATACTTATTCGAGGTCTTTGCTCCTCCCACCACATGTGAACAAGAGCTATTAGTGTATTTGAGCCCGGGTGCTTCTTCAGACGCCACTGGGGGTGTTGGATTCTAGGCAGTACCTGCACAGTTCTGCTTTCTCTAAAGTCTGGAAAATTCCACAATCTGAAGCATATCCAGCCCCAAGGTTTCAGCTACGGGATTGTGGACTGAGGAAGGAGTCTAGCTTTGCAGTTAGGAAATGAGGGTCAAGGACATTAGCAGAGCTGCCCAAGGCCATGCAGCTAGAAATTGATGGGGTTGGAATCGAGCCCCAAGGGACAGGTTCCCCAGCCTGGCTTCCCTCACCCTGGCCCCTCTGCTTCCTTAGGTCCACATGAAGCCTTGCCCCTGCCATCCCTGCCCCCGGGGCATCAGGGAGACCTGCCAGTTTTCAGGGGGCATGAGGCCCACCCTTGGCCTCAGCCCAGCAGGGCACCTCTCCCCAAGTAGGAGATCCGCTCCACGCCCTTTCCTGCAAAAGGCCCCATCTAAGCCTACCGTGTTTCTGCAGACTCAGAAGTCCCGGGCTGAGGACATGGACCTGAAGGGGAAGGCCTTGGAGAAGACAGTTGCATTGAGAGAGCGCCTGGCCACCGAGGCTGTCCAGGCCCTCCAGTCCACCGCCCAGGCGGCGCTGCAGAAGACGGAACCCTTCACAAAGGTCAGCTTTTGTTCCTCTCCTTTTTTTTTGGAGTTGTGGTCTCACTCTCTTCGTCCAGGCTGGAATGCAGAGGCATGATCATACTTCACCACAGCCTCGGCAGGGTGCAGTGGCTCTCGCCTATAATCCCATCACTTTGGGAGGCCTAGGTGAGAGGTTTGCCTGAGCCCACATGTTTGAGACCAGCCTGGGCATCTTGATGAGACCTCACCTCTACAATAAATCAAAAAATTAGCCAGGCATACCTGTAGTTTCGGCTACTCGGAAGGCTGAGGCGGAAGGATCGCCTGAGCCCAGTAGGTCGAGGCTGCAGTGGCCATGAGAGTGCCACTGCACTCCAGCCTGGGCGATGGAGTGAAACGCCAACTCAAAAAATAAAATAATTCACAGCCGGGCTCGGTGGCTCAGCCTGGAATCCCGCGCCTTTGGGAGGCTGAGGTAAGTGGATTGCCTGAGCCCACGGGTTAGAGACCCGCTTGGGCAATGAGACCTCACTTCTACAATAAATCAAAAAATCAGCCGGATGTGGTAGCGCATGCCTGTAATTCCAGCTACTCGGAAGGCTGAGGCGGAAGGATCGCCGGAGCCCAGCAGGCCGAGGCTGCGGTGGCCAGGAGCGGCCACTGCACTCCAGTCTGGGCGACAGAGTGAGACTCCAACTCAAAATAAAAGAAAAAAAAAAATAATAATAATAATTCACCACAGCCTCGAAGTCATCCTCCCACCTCAGCCTCCCAAAGTGCTGGGATCACAGGTTTGAGCCATTGCGCCCAGCCTGCTCTCATTCTTTGAAACGGGGCAGGAGGAGATCCTGGAGGAGAAACATTTGAAACCTGGAAGAGAGACTGCCTGCCCTCCCAGGTTCTCTGAGGTCAAGGGTTACAGGAAGGAGAAAGGGAAAATAGGTGGTAGCTCTTTCCGTCTTCAGGGAGTAAAGGTGTGAGGAGATGGGATGGATGGACAGACAGATGGACGGACAACAACACCAGCAGCACCCAGGCCAATGCCCACCACCCTCAGCATCAGTTACACCCAGGATGCTTTTCATTCCTTCCTTAATTCCTTAGTTCCTTCTCCAAGTGTTTATTGAACACCCGAAATCCCTGGGACTCATAGAGTTAAACTGTAGAAGGGGAGACCAGGGCATCCAAGGAGAATTATGGGCCATATTTAGCTGAGTCAGTGGTATCCAAACTATGAAAATATAAACTACCAAACCAAAACACGTTCTCAGCCAGGCACGGTGGCTCACTCCTGTAATCCCAGCACTTTGGGAGACCGAGGCGGGAGAATTGCTTCAGCCCAGGAATTTGAGACTAGCCTGGGCAACATAGTGAGACCCCATCACTACAAAAAATTGGCCAGGGGTGGTGGTTCACACCTGTAATCCCAGCACTTTGGGAGGCCGAGGCAAGAGGATTGCCTGAGTCCAGGGGTCTGAGACCATCCTGGGCAACCTAGCAAGCTCTACAGTAAATCCAAAAAGTAGCTGGGCATAGTGGCGCCTGCCTGTCATCTCAGCTATTTGGGAGGCTGTGGCGGAAGGAACACCTGAGCCCAGCACATCGAGGGTGCAGTGACTCTGAGCATACCACTGCACTCCAGCCTGGATGACAGAGTGAGACTCTGACTAAAAAAAAAAAAATTAGCTGGGCACGGTGGTGTGTGCCTGTAGCCCCAGGTACCCTGGAGGCTGAGGCAAAAGGATCTCCTGAGCCCAGGAGGTTGAGGCTGCAATGAGCTGAGATCATGCCACTACACTCCTGCCTGAATGACAGGGTGAGACCCCAACTCAAAAAACAACAGCAAAAATGTTTTCTTTGAAACTAGTGTTAGACTTACAAAAAGGTTGCAAAGAGAGGACAGAATTCCCATACACGCTTCACACAGATTCCAAACCATAGTACATGTGTCAAAATCAGGAAAATGGCCGGGTTCAGTGGCTCAGCCTGTAATCCCGCGCCTTGGGAGGCTGAGGTGAGTGTATTGCCTGAACCCGCGGGTTCGAGACCTGCCTGGGCAGCAAGACCTCATCTCTACAATAA